GGTTCAAGACCACTAGCTACACACTTACCAAATTCTTACTTTGTATATGATAGCATCTGTATATTACAGCTACCTTCAGCACGTCCGCAGATTTAGAGATAAACTCAGTTAAAGCAGACCTTGCAATAAAAAGCAAGTTATGCTTTTTACTAGGGATGCACCAACATTTTGGCCACCAAATTAATACGCCCGAAAATGGCAATTTGGGCAAAATGACAAAAGGACAATTTTTTTGCCGAAAATTTAGTACATGTCTAGTTTCTCTCCTTCCTGCTGGGCGCTACTCTGTCTCCCCTTTGACACAGAGCAGCACCCAGCAGGGCAGGGAGGAGAGAAACTTTCGGGACGCTCAGCCTCCTGTGACAGGTTAGGCCAGATGGAGGGAGGTATACATACACTCAGCGATCAATTTATCGCTGAGTGTTTGTAAATAACTGAGAACATAGTATGTTTACAGTTGTCCCCAATTATGAATGAATAGGAAGTGCTCTACATCGTTTCCTGTTTATTCATGATTGTGGACATGGTAACTGATACTTTATCTACAATTTATGAATGGACAGGAGCACTCAGTATAGAAGCTTCTTGTTCATTCATAACAGGGGCTGCAGAAAAAAAGATTTAGGACTCTTGTGTCCTCATTCTCTTTTTTTTCTTTTTTAAAAGGGAAATATCAGGAGTCTCTTTAGGCCCCCAATATTTCCCCAAAGCCCCCGACAAAGATAAAATATTTTTTTTTTAGGGCTGTTACCGATTAAAATTTTTGTGTTCGATTAATCGAAATTTTTTTTAATCGATTAATTTCGATTAATTGTAACTCACATACAGAATTCTTGTCTAAGCAACAATGGTAATGGGGACAGGGCCACACAAAGAAAATTAAAAAAAGGTTAATATTTTTTTAAAAACTTAACACGTTCAGGTTTTATTGAAAGGGGAGGGTTACAACAATGGAAAGGTGAATGTCCCCTGGAAACTGCTCTCTTCCGTGTGTGTATGGGCCGGTTGGTTATTAAATAATCCACTCCATTTTTTTGTCATTTGAAATCCTTTTTTCTGTGCTGACTACACACGCTTGAAGAGCAACAGGACTGAATTTCAAAAAGCAGTAACAGTAAGCAGCATGGCAACAATAGCTTTTTTGCTTCTTCTGAGAACCTATTTGATACGGCTGATGCGCTCTAAGTACTTTCTCTCTGTGTACTTTTAAATCATGGCGCCTTTGTGGCTCTGTCGGCTAACGAAGGGGGGGAGTTCGGTGACGCCACGGACATCGACGTCACCTGACTCCTCCCCCTTCCCTTTGTTAGCCCTTACGGACATCGACGACACCGGACTCCTCCCCCCTTCGTTACCCGATGAAGCCACTTGGGGAAGGGGGGAGGAGTGCGGTGATGTCCGTCATCTCACCGGATCTCCGACGGAAGACCCGGAAGCCGGCGGAGAGGTGAGTACCGATCAAAATTTTTTTAATCGATCAAAAAAATTAACGATTAATCAAGGAATTCATCGTTAATTCCGCAGCCCTAAATTTTTTTTAAAAAGGTTAGGGAAAAAAACATGGTTCGGTCTGAACATTCCATTTCTTCCTGTGGAGAAAAGTTAGATAATATACTTATCTCCTGCCCGCAGTGCCCAAGGGAAGTGGTTTAATTTCATCTCATGAGATTTTATATCATTTAGTGTTTCTAGGATCTCTCCATAAGCATTATAATGTCATCCTCTCAAGTTCAGAAGCCAGGTAGAAGGTCATTTTTTTTCCCCAAATAGAAGGATAGTTTGTTTATGAACATTTCTCTCCAGGATTGTTTTTCCCAACCATGATGTGGCATTTGTTATGGGGGGGGTTATGTATTTAGCAGATCAGGATGTCTTCTACTGCCTGAGCCTCCTTATTGGCCCTTAATGTAGTGGGATGTGGAAGAGGAAAGAGCCAAGCTCAGCTTTTACATAAAAATGAGATATGCCTATAATTTCTGCTGCCTGTACCCGGCTCCAAAAAATAAAAATCACACTGCAGTGCCATTTTCAATGGAGATGACCTCCATTTATGCATTTGTTTCCTTTTTTTTTTTTTTTTACCTTTTTTAAAATTGTTTGTTTCTGGTAGATTTACTTGAAGCTGCCTTTTTCCTACAGGGAGAGGTTTCCTGAAGACTGCAGCCCAAGGGGAGGGCTTTGCCCCTCAAATTCCAGGTGTTTCCAGTCGTTACCCTTTAAAACCCCCTGAGGCTGTTCATAAAGGTGAACATGAGCCAGTGGGTGTTCCTCTGGGGAGAGCCAGGTGAGTGCATTTTCTGCTGCTACTGAGAAGCCTAAAACTAGAGTCTCTAACAGACGTTTTTAGAACAACGGAATGCTGATCATTACAATGTACGGTGACCAATACAAATCGCTGGAGTCTAAAAATCTGTGTGCTACTGATGTTACTCATTCTAAAAATACTAGCTAAACTATCCACTAATCCCACTCCAGAATGATCAGTCTGGTGTGTCTGCTGTTCAGTTCTGATGGCATATGTCAACCAAACCAGCCAGCATTGGTAAGTAATTGGGGAGCAACCCTTCCTCGTATAGGTTTCGGTTCCATTTTTAATGGAGGGCTAAAGTGCCCTGGCAGGAATACCAGATCTCGTGCTAACCAGAAACAGAGATTTGTGTGCTCTCATAAGTAAGATTTATTCAACATATGTTGGGCAGTATGATAGCCAGCATACTACACCCAAAAAAAGAATTGCATTAATTTTTAAGCAAAGGTACATTAGCATAATTCATGAGACACATCCCAGTGTCATCCCACACTGGGCAGGCACGGAAATACAAATTATCCAATAAAATTTGATTAGCGCAGCTTTGAAACGGTTAACGCTCTCAAACCACAGAGCCACTCCCACACTTGCATTATTTTTGTTAATCAAAACGAAACAGTAATTGAAGAACTAATGGTTCTTTTGTGGTGGGCACGACTTGGTCTGGTGTCTGACACTATACCATATTTGGGAGTTTTTGTCGCCATATCAGCTACCCACAAACCAAGATGCTGCCGATAACAGGAAATTCTGCAAAAGGCCCTTAGACTGCAGACTGAGGTTAATAATATTTGCAGAGTCTGCAAAATATATTTTTGCAAACCTTGCAAAAATAAAACTGTTCATTTCTACAAAACTTGGGACTTATGTATAGCAAAAATGGAGTCTTGAATATCAAGATGGATATTTTGGCTTAACCCCTTCATGACTGAGGCCTTTTTTTCATTTTTTGCACCCATGTTATATTCCACATTTTAGGCCTGAAAATAACGTAAAACCCCCCAACATTATATATTTTCTGAATGCCAAGACCCTATACAATATAATGGTGGTAGTTGCAAATGTATATGTTGCGCAATATTAGCGCAACTCCTTATCAAACCCCAAAATTTAGTGATGAATTTAATTACATGCCCCAAAACACAACAAAATACCCATTTTTTAAAAGCAAATATAAAAGATGAGGTTACAACGATTAAAACGATACCCAACATGCCCAGTTTACAAATTGCGTGCGTCCGTGAAACAACGCTTTAAAAGCCCCCACAGGTCATCAATTTAGAGATACCCCAAAATACTGGCCCTAGAATTATTGCTCTCACTCCGGCGTGCGCGGCGATACCCAACATGTGTAGCGCGTTCGTCGTCTTCATACGTAGTCGCACCCGACGCGTGTTTACGTGGCGACTCGCATGCTTGCGGGGGCAGGGGACTTTTACAATTTTTTTATTATTACATTTATTTGATTTGATTTTAATTTTAAAAACTGTTTTTTTTTTGTTTTTTTTTTAACTTTACTTTGATCCGTCGGTTCCGCCAGTCAGCGCTGGCGGAGCGGGGAGGGGGGAATCCAGCCCCTCCCCTGGCACGTCAGAGAGCGGTGACAGGATCGAGAGGTGAGCGAACGCCGGTATGTGTTCGCTCACCTCCTGATCTACTGCGCCGACCTGTGACAGTCTCATTATCACAGGTCGGCTAGAACTATGAGGTGAGTGAAAAGCACTCACCTCATAGTTCTCCTTTTAACCATCTTTTGCACCTCAAAAGTAAATTATATGGAAGTACAGTATGGAGAAAACCAGAAACTTACCCTTGCAGTCTTGCTATCCCTGCTCTGCAAGTGTTAAGTGCTCTTTTTGGTTGGAGGACACAAATAAAGCAGATTTACATACCTGATTCTCGGTTCCGCAGGTTTCCTCTGGGCTGCTAGACCAGTCCCTGAAGCCTTTTCTCCCCTGGGCGCCGGTGGCAGCGGTCTAAGGACCGCTGACTTCATCACATCTAATGCAGGTCTGTTGACATTCCATAGCCGGAGCGAAGGGGAAGAGGTGAATGCTGACCATTGACCACTGCGGAAGCTGGGATCAGGTTAAACAGAATATAACTGTTTTAAGTGCTCTACACAAACACTTAACCTTTGCAATGTGGAGGTAGCCCCACTGCAAGGGAAAGTTTGTGATTTTTCCTGGAGTTCTTCTTTGGGGAGGTAGTTTATGCTTCATTCTCTCTAGCCCCTTATGTGCTTTCACAAAATATTTGACATAATGCAATCTCCTAGTTTTTGAAAGTTAGGTAGGCTTGAGCAGGGGTATAAATTATGCAAATATACTCGTCTAGAATGGGGGCAGATTTTTGAAAAGTACTAAATAAAAGTTCAGTCTATAAAGTTGTCTTTTCCACTGTACATGATAGGTATACTTTACAAATAGGCTTTAATAAACCACAAGAAAACTGCACAGGGCCAGAGAGATTTCACCTTAGGAGCATTTAGGATTGTTTATGGAATCCAGGAAGATGACCCTTTGTTCTCAGTGCAAATATGTTGCACTGAGACCACAGGTAACATAGTGCTGCAGGAAGTTTATATCTTGTAGTTTTTCATGTTTTTTTCCTCTTGCAGATTTCCGGTAAGCCCTTCAATTTCAGAACGTCCACCTCCATCCCTTATTGGTAGGGGACTAGGTAGGGCTCCTGTCTCTCTGGTTCTTCCATCCACACCTCCCAAAACAGAAAGTCCTCTAGCAGCTCCTATTGTGACGAAAGAAGATAAGAGGTGAGAGATTAGCATTGTTTAATTATGTATAAATATACAGCATCATACCTAAAGTGCCTGATCAAGTAAAAAAAACCCTAAACTATAGTAATACAATAAATGCACGTGTTTTAATCCCTTTAATATTTTCAAATACATAAATTGGCCGACCTCTACCCAGGCTTTCCCAATCTCAGTCTATCATGAATGCAACTGCTAGACTCATTCACCTAACCAACCACTCAGTGTCTGCAGTGTATGTCAATCCCGGCACTGGCTTCCAATAGCCCAAAGGATCAAATTCAAAATATTTAATAACCACTTACAAAGCCATCCACTACTCTGCCCCCGGCTGTATCTCAAAACTTGTCTCAAAGTATCACCCTAACCGTCCGCTCTGCTCTTCAAAAGACCTTCTGCTTTCCAGCTCCATCAACTCCTCCCATGCTCACCTCCAGGACTTAACTAGAGTCTCTCCCATTCTATGGAACTCTGTACCCCAACCTGTCTGTCTATCTCCCACCCTGACTGCCTTTAGACGATCCCTTAAGACTCATCTCTTCAGGGAAGCCTATCCCACCTCAACCTAACCACTTAATCATCACTTTCTCAAACAATTCATCCGCACACAGCTCCCACCTCATATGTCACTGGCCCCTCCCTATTAGATTGTAAGCCCTCCGGGCAGGGCCCTCCTTCCCATCTTGTCTTGAATTGTATTGTGATTGTAATGTCTTCTTTATATTGTAAAGCGCTGCGCAAACTGTTGGCGCTATATAAATCCTGTATAATAATTTAAAAAAAAAAGGATTTGCGACTTACTGTAAAAACCTTTTCTTGGAGTTCATTAAGGGACAGCGTCAGAAGGATTCTAAGACAGATGTTATATTGCTGCATACAGGAGAATTGGACACTGGTAAATAAAAGCAACCAAAAAAAACCCCCCCCCCCGCCCCATCAATCTTCAGTAGTAGGGGTGATTATAAAACCTAAGGGTGGGACATATGTCCTTTGGTGAATTCCCAAGAAAATAATTTTAAGGTAAGTCAACAATCCTCTTTACTTAATAGTTCATTGAGGGACACAGGGTCTGAAAGATTCTGAGATGTATGGGGTGTCCAAGATCAGTCCAGCTGAGGGGTGGACAACACAACAAGCAGAATGCTAACAGGCCCACAAAAAACAGCTGAACTGGGTCTAGCTGCAGCTCAAAGAGCCACCTGAAGGATCTACATTCCAAGCTGGCATCAGATGATGCCTGACCCAGTAAAAACGAAAATGTGAAAAGACGGCAGCCTTGCAATCCTGGGAAACAGATGCTTGATGCTGAAAAGCCCAATACACGCTTATAGATCTAGCAGTATGTGCCTTGAAAGTATAAGGTGGAACCTTATTTATGGAGATTATGTAGTTGACTAATCTGCCTAGAAACTGTGGAATGAGAGGCAGGCTGTCCCATATAGGAACCAATCCAGAATGACAAGGAGAGTCAGTCAGTCTGAAGGGAAAACATGGTAGAGAGGTAGACTTGAGCGAGAACTCTCCTTGGTATGTACTGGGAGATGGAACTACAATGTCTTGGTTAAGGAGGAAAAAGGACCCCCCTGGGGGAGCTAGGCCTCAAGATAACCTGGTCTCTGTGTAAGAACAGAAAGCGATCTTTACAAGAGATGGCCACCAACTCAGAACCTCACCTTTATAGATGTGATAGCACTAAGGAAGACAACCTTGTGGGTGAGTGAAGACAGAGGAATATCTCTGATGGGTTCGAAGAACGGAATTTGAAAAGCCAACAGAGCCAGGCTGCGATCCCATGGAGTCACAGGATGTTTAGGTGGAGCTATGTGAGCATCACCCTGAACAAAACCTTTGCCAAGGTATGAGAGGCAAGCGTTTTCTTCTTTCTTGGGAGAGAAGACGTCCTGTCAGGGTGCATCAGTCAGCAACCATAGTGCAGCTTCTGCCTGGACCACTGCACACTATGCTCATGCGCGTAGCTGCTAGTACTGCGCATGCACAAAAACGTGCACACGCATTTCCTTGGCGCCAGGCGCGCTATTTAAAGATGGCTCCTGCATCTACACTTTGCTGAGAGATCTTCAGCTGTAACCTGCATCTGTGTTTCTGCTCCTGATACCTGTTTGACCCAGCTTGATTCTTGACTCTGCCTGCCTTTTGACCTCGGCCCGTCCCTGACCATTCTCCTGCCTCCTGTTCCGGTACCATTCTGCTCGCTAGTGTATGACCCGTCCTGTTCCTGACTCTGCTTCTGTCACCTACTTTTGTACCACGCTGACCGCACGTTACCGATCTGGCTTGTCCCTGACTGCGCTTCAGCCTCTCACACAAGTGTCGTCTGATCTGCCATCTTCCACTAGCTGTCTCTAGCGTCCTGTTGTCATCATCAGCACATCCAGTGTGTCCAGTAGTCATACCAGGCACTCGTGCCCCTCTCTGTCTGTATAACTACTGTTCCATCTCCAGTGGGGCTCGGACGAGAGCAGCAAGGGAAGGCCTTCCTCGTCACTTCAGGCTCATACCAAGGTACGTGACACGTCCATTCTAATTACATTGAAAAACTGAAGCATGATGGGAGTGGGAAGGAATATATCCTGGCTGACTAACAGCTTTTATTTACCATTGACCAATACGCCTGTGTGCAGTAATATAACATGAATCTCAGAATCCTTTTTGGACCTGCATCCCTTCATGAAGAACTAAGAAATGCCTGTTAATCTGCAACAAAACCAGTGCGCTCCTAACTTCCTGTTTGAACTAACAACAAAATGTCTATTTTGCACTGTATTTCCAAGCATTGTTGTCAGGCCCTGGTCTGCAAAAGTCCACCTATCTTCCTCTATAAATGCATACCTTTTTTATTTCTTTATCGGCAAAACACTGCTGTTGCCCTAATGTTTATAAAGCCTACCCATGCACTGTATGTAGTTAAAAGCTTTTGTGAGATGTAGTTCTAGCTTTCTCAATTCAGAATTGAGAAAACTATAGTTGGATGACTAGGAAAACGAGTTAAATAAAAAAACAGCAAGTCCAGTTGCCTTGATTTATTTTTTAGATAGTTTTGTTGGTTTTGCTCACGTCAATAGGAACTCGCCTATAGGGTAAAAGAAAAAAATATTACTGGAGGGAAATGCTCTACAGGGAGAGTGGGAGGACACACACAGACAGACAGACACACACACACATACACAGACAGATACAAACACACAGACACACACTTTTTGATCACCAATGGTGAAGAAAGGGAGCCCAGTGTAAACATCAAGTTGATCCTATGTCCCTAAAGAGAAGATGGTCTTCTCAGTAGGGGACATTGACGGCAATAAAGGATAGTGGAGGTTTTAACCTTCTCACACCCTGCTAAAATATTGCGTAATAATGTGAGAGATGGACAGGAAGTGAGAAGAAACTGAATCTAACCCTCATCTTCTGTTTAATAAGCGTGCGCGCACACACACACACTTTATTTTTTTTTGTGTTTTCCAAAACATATTGACAGTTTTATTGGGCAAATTGGTGTGTGTGTTGTTTACCTTTTGGTAAGGGCATTAGATTGTAAGCTCTGCTGGGGCAGGGAGTAATTCTAATGGTTTAGCATGCTCTGCAAAATGCTGTGCAATATGTTTTCACTCTGTGAATACCAAATAAGAATATTGCTTTATTTTATAACGTAAGAACATTTTGCAGACTCTCTGACATACCTTCTTCCTTTACAGGGCACCATTAGTTAAACTAGGCTCAAAAGGCATCCCCACTTCACTTGGGATAAATTTAATCAAAATCATCTGCAAAAATGAAGCAGTTTATCAGTACCATGTCACTTTCACGTAAGCTTTTTTGTATTTTTCTCTATTGGCTACAACTGCAATTTCCATGATAAAACGTCATGATCTGTACATCTAGACATCAAGTTTTGCTTGTAAGAATATAAGACATCTTTATAGATGACAACCCAGGAATACTTAATCTGATTATTGGTCATAGAGTATTATATGTAGTACCTGGCAACCCACAGACCTTAACTTTAACCACTTGCCCATTGTGAATACATGGGCGGACGGCAACTTCTTCCCAGTGGGTGGACGTACATGATTTTTTTTCCTGCTCATGCGCTCCTCCGAGCAGAATCCCGCTGGGAATGTAAACAGCCGGTATCGGCTGTTACATACAAGCATCAGCGAGCTCTACAGCCAGCTGAACGCTTGTATGAGACTAACGTCTTGGGGACTCCTGATGTCTCCATAAAGAGGACCTGTCATTGTATATTGGCTATCACGTAAGGGGCTTGTTAGCCCCCTATGTAATAGCAATAAGGTTAGGTCCCCCGCCCCTGTGTGCATGCACATATAAATGTAAATATGCGTCGGGTGCACCCACACCTGAAAACAATGATTACACCACACATGTTAAATATCACCGCCAACGTCGGAGTGTGAACAATAATTCTCTGGCCAATATTAATCGCCGATAACACTAAACTGATGAGCGGTAAAAGCTTTTAAAGCGTCGCCTATGGTGAATTTTGGGTATGGTAGTTTTTTGCGATTTTATCTTGTGCCCGCACAATTTGAAAGCTTGACATGTTTGGTGTCTATTTACCCGACGTGACCCCGTCTTTTATATTTTACCATAAAATTGGATAATAATTGGATAATAATCAATGTCTTATAACAAAACAAACCGTTTTTCCCCCCAAAATTTTCTGAACTTTTTTCATTATATAGTAAAAAATAACCCCCCCCCCCAGTGGTGATTAAATACCACCAAAGGAAAGCTCTACGTGTCCCAAAGAAAATGATATAAAGTTAATTTCTGTAGATCGTTTTATGACGGAATAAATGTCAGTCAAAGTACAGCAGCGCTGAATACTGGAAAATGGCCGGGACAGGAAGGGGGTTCAACACCCTGGTCATCAAGTGGTTAATTGAGCCTACATAGATTTTATACATATTCTGGGGGGATTATCAATTTTGGTGTAGAGCAAGCAATGCTAGGCAGGAGCAGTGAGACAGTTCATACACCGGATTTATTACAAGATTACAGCTTGAGTCATAAGGAGTCTTCCTCCTCGCTGCTCTAAAGTCTGGGCTGCGACAGAAGGAAACCTGATCCTGAACATTTCTTAATTCAAGCATTTCTTAATACCTTGCAAATGTATCGCAGATATCTGCCTAGGAATTCAGGCGCATGGGGCACATTTTTCAAGCAAATTGGCCACACAGTTGTAAATCATATGGCCTTTCATTCAGCAGAGTTTCTGGAACAGGTTTACACACCTATGCGTTTTTATTCTTCGGCAGCCAAGTGCGACATTTCGCAAAGTTTTGCGACAAATTTATAACTGAAGATGTGACAGATTTTTACTCTAAGGCCCCGTTCACACTAAGCGATTTTATTGCGCGGTAATTCCCGCGATATCGCGGCTATTTACCGCACTATATCGCTCTCCAATGCTTGACAATGGGGCAAAGGGTCCTGCTGTCGCGGGTCGTGAGTCGCTACAGCTGGACCCTTTTGCCGTGATTCTAGCTTGCCGATGCAAGCATTTGCGCGATATCGCGCAAAATGCAAATCGCGCAGTGTGAATGGGGCCTAAACAGTCCCATCATTTAACCACTTGCTGGCCACGTGTTAACACCCTTCCTGTCCAGGCCATTTTTCAGTATTCAGTGCTGTGGTACTTTGACTGACATTTATTCTGTCATGTAACGCTGTACTGAAATGATTTTTATACCATTTTTTGGGGACAAACAGAGCTTTCTTCTGGTGGTATTTATTCACCACTGGGATTTTTATTTTTTACTGTATTAAGGAAAAATTACTGAAAATGGTGAAATTTTTTTTCATTGTTAGGAAACTATTACCCAATGTTTTGGTAAAATGTAAAAGACGGGGTCACGTTGGGTAAATAGACACCAAACATGTCAAGCTTTAAAATTGCGCACACCTGCAAAATCGCTAAAAAAACTACCATACCCAAAATTGACCAAATGTGACGCTTTAAAAGCTTTTGCCGCTCATCAGTTTAGTGATTGATGGGCCTAAAATTATTGCTTTCACTGCGACGTTCTTGCCGACACACCCGACACATGTTTGCATGGGTGTATGTATGGGTGGACTTTAAAAAATATATATATATTTTTTTAAATTATTTTTCATGTGTAACTTTTATAGTTACACAGCAAGAGCAGCAATGTATGACATAAGCTGTAACCTTGTATTAAGGGCTTGTTTACACCATGACCATTGAGTTATGTTTTTCTGCACACCACTGCATATGTATGGTATGAACAGGGGACATAGAAATTAAGTGTTTTCTATGTGCCCTGTTCATACCATATATCTGCAGTGGTGTGCAGAAAAATACAGGTGAAGGGACATTCTGTGAATGAGCCTTAAATCTGTTGCACAATCTGTGTCCCTGTTCCTAGCATTGCTGTGCAACAGAATTGATAAATGTCCCAGGGTACCTCTATTCATTTACGCTGGAATTGGCCCTGATCACTATACATGTGAATGATCTAGTTTTAAGTGCCTTAGGCATAACTTCCTTCTTGTTGTTGTAGATGCCTGTTGGTCTTATCTCTGTCTTTTTGCTTGCACAGACCCAATGTGGAGTGCCGCGGTATGCGCTTTGGCATGTTAAAAGAACACCGCTCAGTGACGGGACAAGTTTCAGCTTTTGATGGTGCTATTCTCTTCCTACCAGTCAAACTTTCTCAGGTACCAGGAACGTGAGGTGATTGCACTGCCAGATGATAAAATTGAGATCAGCTCTTAGGCCTGGTTCACACTGTAGTGCTTTTTCTGCCCTAAAAAAAATGCCATTAATTTCTATGGCCCTGTTCATATCTGAGTGTTTCGTTTGTAATGAGCAAAATGCCTGTGGCTGGAAAAAGTACAGGAGCTTTTTTTTTTTCTTTGCATATTACAGCTCGTTTTGGTCCCATAGACTCAATAGGAAACACTTGAAAACGCCCGTTTGCTGTGTTTTCACGCGTTTTAGGTGCGTTTGCTCAATAACATCAATGTGCTACAACCTGCTCACAAAAATGCGCAATTAGATTAATGCGCATAAAACGCGCACAAAAACGCAAACGTGCATCGAAATTGATGTCGCTTAGGTGTGAACCCAGCTTATGGTTCTCCTGGACACAGTTGGTTTATGGGTTATAAACAACAATGATGTGCAGTATCTTATTGCAACTAGTCAGATTACAGTTTGCCCTGGAATGAAAAGTCCCAGGTTATTTGACTGCTGTACGTTACTCACTTTGCAGTGATTTATTAAAAAAGACTGTGTTCTATCGAAAGCTCAGACTTGTCGAGCTCTCCGACTGGGCACGTCACATCCGGTGACTGCCATTAGAGGATTACAGCAGATGGAGCTAGTGCACATGGGCAGAAAATCCTTGTCGAATTGTCTAACTATTGCCACTGCGCCTGCGTGGCTAGCGGCTCATCGGATTCTATAACCTAGGACAAACTTATATTTGTCCAAGGTTATAGAAGCCGATAGCCCCACAGGCGCAGTGGCAACTGTGGTTGTAGAAAGAATAATTTGGCCGCGCAGGCGCTGTAACATGCTGTAAACATCCTATGAGGCAATAGCCACTGCGCCTGCGCGGCTATGGGCTTCTATAACCTAGGACAAATATAAATAGTAGGTCATAGAAGTGGATAGCCGTGCAGGTGGAGCGGCAATAGTTAGACAGTTCGACAAGGATTTCCTGGGCTGGTGCACTAGCACCATCTCCTGTACATCTCCTACTGGCAGTCAACGGATGTGACGTCACCAGTTGGACAAGTCGACAAGTTGGAACTTTCGATAGAACACCGGCTCAAAAGAATGAACTGATATGTTAGAACAGTTGAAATTTAGGTTGTTGTTCAGATTTATATGGATCAAATGTTTTTTTAAAATGTTGAAAGAAAATGTGAACAGCTAATGATAGTTAAGGATTGTTGCCAATGTTCTGTGTATCTTGTTAAAGGAGACAAAAAGGGTCTTCTAAAACAAAAAAAGGAGAGCCCTGGAGCGTTTAACTAGATTGTGCTGGTACGCGCAGCATATTTTATTATAATAGCCTAACCTAACAAAATGGTCCCCTCCAGCGCTGCGCTCCTCGCTCACTGGCACTTCCATCTTCTTCCCGATATTTAGGGTTTTGAGTCTTCGGCTGCTTGATTGTTTGGTTCCGGTTCTGTGCTGGCATGCTGAGTCTGTGCATGGAGCTGCGTACGCGCAATATGCAAATATAATCCCCAAAAAATAAGCTTATGCACACCCCATAATAACTGTAATTCTGTATTTTTCCATCCTTTAACCAGTTGACATCCGCGGTGTTAAACCCCCTTCCCATCCCGGCCATTTTTCAGTATTCAGCGCTGCGGTACTTTAACTGACATTTATTCCGTCATGCAGCGCTGTACTGAAATATTATGTAGTTTCTGCTGATCTGGAGAATTATTGTTCACACGGGTCCCCTAACTGCCTTTTTCCTGCCTGAATGCTGTCCATGTGACCAATATTTCCCTGCCACTGCAGGAGGAATACTTGAGTTATTTGTGTTTAGTATTTCCATGAAGTATCATGTTGTTCTGAGTCTGTCATTCAGATCAGACTAGTGTTAAAGTGCAATGCAAAGTTTAGTGTGGGTGTCACCAGGTGAAATCTGCAGTGTTCAGGCACAGAGCAGTTTAGGAAGCTCCAACCCCTTTGCCATTACTCTTTGAAAGAACATTCATAAGGATGGCAGGTTTGTGTTTGTGACTCTCACCAAGCTCCCCTCGTTGTCAGACCCAAGAGAGTGAAGTGAGTAGACAAATCTTTGCTCACTGGGCCAGGGTTCATGTCATGTTGTCCTAAACATTAGAAGCAACATCTGGGTCGTACCTGGCCATTGACCTGCATTGCTTCATCTGACAGGCCCTCTGCCAGAACAGCATATGGAGAGCACAGGGAGAACACCAAATTTGTCTTGATCATGGAGTACAGATCAGAGACTGCTTGGTAATATGTAGGTATCGGTAGGTGATTGGACACTGACTAGAGTCGTGAGGACCCTGTTAATGTTCTTAGATGATGACCATCTCTCTAGTGAGTGAAGATATATGTAGTTTTCTTTTTTTGTCCTGTGATTATTCAATCGTATTTCTTTAGAAGTGTATGGCCATGACGGCAACTTCACAGCTTTTGGATTGGTTCCCCATGGCAACAGCTTTGGGGACTATACCCAGATCCCACTGGATGGAATATGCTGGGTCAGCCTGTGCTGCTGATGCAGGCACTGAATATTGCATTAGGCGCCCACTTTGGCACATGGTGCACCATGTAAGGTTAGCTGCAGGGTGTATACAGGTCCAGGGCAGTGGCATATCTGTACTGGTGTGACCCAGTCCCTAAAGCCCTGTGCTCATTCCAAGTGGGTAAACTAAGGGTGGTGGGTTCCCTCATCCCTCCGTTTGGATCGACAGACACGTCAGAGGGTGAATCTCTGTTCACCCACTGGGTATCCCCTGGTTCCTGTATGACTGCACTGCCCTGCTCCTTCTAGATGCCCTCCAGTGACACTGGTTTCTTAAGCTGGTACTTTCATCTCTTCAGTGACCTCCCTTTGGACCTATGAGAGATGCCTCTCTGAAGGATCCTGTGCACAAGGTGGTTTTATTTGTTGATGTCCCCTTTGCTAGGAGGGTTTCAGAATTGGCAGCACTTCCATGAAATTAATCATTCCTTGTTCTTCACAAGTATAGGGTAATTCTTAGGCCTAATGATTTCTCCCTGCATGAGATGTCCGTGTTGCAGCTGAATCAGGACATAGTCCTTCTTTCCTTTTGTCCTGCTCAGAAACATCCCCAAGAGATTGTCCTCCATTGTTTGGATGTGGTTTGGGCCGTCCCAAGTTCATCTCTCAGGTACAGCTTCATCCAGATAATCATCTAAAGAACCTCTCAGGGGGCTTCGTACATCTTGTTCCAGCATTTGTGGTGCATTTCACATTGTGCATGCCTATTTTGCCACAGGTAGGGCTCTACCTTGTCCTGTGAAGGCACACTCAAGATATCTGTTAGTACCTTTTGGGCTCTTCACTATTGAGAATCTGCTCTGCAAATATGTAAGGCCGCCACCTGGTCTGTTCTCCTAGATGTGGTCAGTGTTCAATCACCTAGTGATGCCTGCATTTTACCCAGTCATCTCTGAATCTGCCTGTGTCCTGTACTGGACTCCAAACAACTCATTTTACTGGTAAGTCCAAAATACTATTTCTCTAATGCTGATTCCTCTAAAATAGAACTATCAGTTGGAAAATGAAAAGCACATTCGGCTTTGTTTCAGTTTACTGTGCAGGGCTGGGATCTTGCTGCATAGGACAGATTTGCTTTACATATACACTGAGTGGCCAGATTATTATGACCACCCCATCAGTACTTCGTTGGGCCACGAGCTGACTTCATTGGGCCTCCTTGTGACTCCACGAGATGGTGAAAGGTGATGTGAGGAATGTGACACGGCACTGTTGCCCTTCCGTTGTCTTGTACCAGTCTTGCCACTCTCCGTTCTGCCCTAACATTGACTAGTCGCTGACGGCCACAATTCGCACGTTCAGACCCAGATTTTCGGCTGACAGTCCGGTCTTTAAACTCTTTAACAACAGCTGCTCTTGAACATTTAACAAATTCTGCTGTTTTGCTGATACTCGCTCCATGGCTCCGACCCACGTTTAAAGGCTGCTAAATCGCGTTGTTTCCACGTATCTTCAGAAACCACTTCTACTGTTGTGGTAAACAACCCGCTTCACTATTTATAATGGTCTGGCCCTCTAGCAACTTCAGCGCAAAATTATAGCTAATTTGCCTACAAACGTCAGGTGGTCATAATAATCTGGCCACTCAGTGTATGTTGAGAATTTTCAGTTCATATTGTATGTGTAATCAATTTAACAAAACACATTTGCTGTGTCATTTTTTTCTGTCTGCAGACTGTCGAGCTTGAGAGCGAACGCCGAACTGATGGACAGAAGATAAAACTTACAATACAAATGACAAAAATCTTGGATCCCAGCTCAGATTTGTGCATTCCTTTCTATAATGTGGTTGTAAGAAAGTAAGGGTCATTTTCCATTTAATTTTTTATTTAATTTTTTTTTTGTCATGCTCTACACTACACAACTTTCTGCGATAGCATGGGCTTAAATCTGCCCATAGAATAGACAGGGTGGACCGAAGCTTAGACTTCACTACCAGTCTTCTTCCTTCGGAGATCTGTGTGGAAGAGCTGGCTATAGCTTGTGTAGGGGTGGACAAGGCTTAGTGTTTAACTCTACTCTTGGCCTAAGACAGGGGTAGCCAAACTCCGGCCCTCTAGCTGTGGTGGAACTACAAATCCCATGAGACATTGGACGATTCTCACAGCCACAGACATGACTCCTGGAGAGAGATGCATCATGGGATTTGCAGTTTCACCACAGCTGGAGGGCCAGAGTTTGGCTACCCCTGGCCTATGATATACTCGCCAGCTTATTTGTGCATCACTCGGCTGTAGATCCTCAAACCATCTCTGAATTGGTGCTGACACTGTCCTTCCTTCTGGAGGGTGACTTTTGTTCCCCTGAGTCTGAGCCATGATCTTGGTATAACCACTTAAAGAACAAGGACATACAGGTATATACATGGTTAATAAAGATGTGTTTGGTATGTTTTTATTTATAAATTTTGTTGTGTGCTACAATTTAAAGTTCCTCTTTATAGTGATGGTTGACGTTTTTGAGCCCGAGTGCTTAAACTGCAACGTAAAATCAATATTTTTATCTCAAAAGTGCCAACACTGAAAATTAGTTTTGTATTGTGTTTTAGTTTGGGCACCGGGGTTTAAAAAACGTTTAGTATAAAATAGGGAAACACACACATTTAAAACATTTTTTTCTTTTTTACTTTTTTTATTTTATTATCTTTTTACTTTATTTTTTAGAATTTGTATTGATTTTTACTTTTTTTTCACTTTTATTTTTAATTATTTTGTATTTTATTTACTTTTTTTAATTTTTACTTTTTATAAATTATTTATTATTATTATTAACACAACTGTTTTTCTAAAAACGCGACGGTCGCGCGACTTTTTTACCGCGCGACGGTCGCGCTTTTGCAATACGCCTAGGTGTGAACCCAGCCTGAGTGTCACACTTGGTGACAGCAACATACTTTTAGCATCGCCGTCATGAGGGGGTTAAATTAAAAAAATTAACCCCTTAGGATGAAAAACAAATCTGCAGCTCAGCTGCAGATTTACATTGCAAGGGGTAATTTTTATAATGATAGTATAAAAATATATTTAATTTTTTATTTATTATTGCTTGCTTGTCAATTGTATATCAAGCTGTCATTGTGAATGGATGTCACTATTGTTAGGCTGCTCCAAACTCAGGAACAGCCAATAATAACCTTAGTGACAGTGACTCTGACATGTACTGCAGCATGTCAGGATAAGATGTCGCTGAAGACTTCTGATCATTGTCGCTGCTTGCCACAAAAATCAGAAACCTGAAACAGACAACATTTGGCTTTCGCTGAATACTTCTATGCTTAAACATTAGGCAAAAAGCCGATACACGTTGGGATTTGCTGATCCCGATCTGTACAGCTGGCTAACAGTGACTGATAGGGAGTGCGTTTCACACCACACTCCTATCACTGTCAGGCACCAATTCACTGAAAGCGATCGGATGTCCGAAAAAGCTTAAAACGTTCATTAATGGATGCTTTGATAGTGAGGCATCCATTTAAATAAGGTAACCGCTGATCTCATCGGTTACCGGCATTCGGGAGCCTAATAGCTGCTAACATACAGTGCACGTGAGCAGTCATCCCCTGTCACTAAGGGGTTAAAGGTGATAATCTAATGTTTTTGTGTGAATTCAGCCTCAATCATTAAAAGAGCTTCTTTTGTGTGTTCATTTCTAGGGTGATGAAAATTCTGGACATGAAACTGGTTGGGCGAAATTTCTATGACCCTTCAAGTGCCACAGTGCTACATCAATATAGGTGAGCTTGCCTTTCTGTTGCATGACCACTTGTAAACATGTGACATGATGTTAGAGATTGTAGACATCAATAAGGAGTATGTTGTGTTTTTGATTTCTTGCTGTTTGCCATGTCATCTTCAGCATAAGTTTATGGCTCCGTTCACACATAGCGGTTTGAAATTCAGCGTGGGTTTTCTGTGAGTCTGTCCGCGAGGAACGAAAAAGCGCCCATTTTAACATATGTGCTGTTTCCACACGTTTGTGGCTACTACTATAGCCGGAAAAAACTACAATAGAATGAGTTTGTTTTTGTTTTACACGCTTCCCCAAGTACGAATATGCGCAGGACACCGTTAATTAGGGATGCACTGATACCGGTACTTTGGCTAGCATGGAACTGGCTTCCTGGCCAATCAGCTTCTACTCAGCTAAACAGCATGGAGCCGGCTTCCTGGCCAATCAGGAAGCCGGCTCCATGTTCCTTCGAGGCACTGCCGGTCAGAGGAAATCTTCCTCTGAACAGAAGTTCCAGTATCGTGGGTATCGGAATATTTGGACGAGTACACACCCAAATACTTGGTATCGGCACTGGTGCATCCCTACCACTAATGTGTGAACAGAACCTTAGTCTGTATTTCATGTACAGATTGCTAGATTCTCCCTCTTGTGTTTCTCTTTAAATTGGACAGTCTATTCAGCAGCTTAAGAGATAAACGGTTAGCCACCTTAACAGTCCATCAATTAGTCTATAGACAGCTGGAGAGCATTATCGTTCTGTAGTACTGCTAACCAGGAAATGAAATGTGTATTTCTCTCCCGTTCATTGAAGGACACAGGGCAACAGATTGTAGATCCTGAATGGTAGGGTATATCGCCACCTGCAGGAGTAGGACGCTAGGCACATAACTAAAAAGACAAGACAGCCTAGGGGCGGCCCCTGCTGGTGGCCCAACCCCTCACTTGCTGACAAGTCTCCAGTTTTTTGCCTAGCGTCAGGAGTAAGGAGCTAAAAAATTTTCTCTGGGAATTTTTTTCACTCAGTCGACAGTCGGTGGATCCGGGGGAGTGGTCTCTAAACCCGGAGGTTTTTCAGCAGCTCTGCCGTCGCTGGGGGACGCCGGTAGGGATGCGCCGTTACCGATACTAGTATCGGTATCGATGCTGATACCAAGTATTTACGTGAGTACTCGCTCAATGCTCCAATACTTACCCCTGATTCTGGAGTGTCCGGTCAGAGGGAGTCTCCCTCTGACCAGCAGTGCCATGAGGGAGCATGGAGCCGGCCAATCGGGAATCCTGGCGGCGGGTTATGACCCGCCTCCCGACTTCCTGATTGGCCAGGAAGCAGGCTTCACTTGTTGCTAGACAGCCTGGCTGCACGTCATGACCTGGCTCCCTGATTGGTCAGGAATCCAGGCTGCCTAGCAACAAGTGAATCCGCCTTTCTAGCCAAGCAGAAAGCCGGGTGGCACATCATGGCCCGCCTGCCAGCTTCACTTGTTACTCTGCAGGCTGGCTTCCTGACCAATCAGGAACCCGGGCAGTGGGTCATAATGTTCGGTCCAAAGGATTGGTCAGGAAGCCAGGCTGCCTCAGTGTCGCAAGGGAAGTGAAACCGGTGTTATTTCGAAAGAAGATGGGCATCCCGGCCAATCAGGACACGCCGCCCAACTTCCTAATATTCCGGGCCAATGGATACCGGTATTGGTATTCGATATCGGTGAGTACCGAAAAAACAAAAGATAACCCGGTATCGGTGCATCCCTAGTATATATAATATGTGCAAATGTTGTCCTCATATTTGTGTACAACATTAAATTGTGTGAAGAAACACAATGATAAGGTTATTTACATTTAGGCCTATATTATTCACATAATGATAAATACATTTACAGAGACTGATTCCCTTTAAGTCAGATTCATTCATTTATAAAGCCTAAGTGGCTTCTGCTAAGTATGGCTTCTAACGTACAGTCATTTGTAGACTGCAGGTGTGGCCGGGATATGCAGCAAGCATACGCAGGACGGATGGCGGCCTGTTTCTTTTAGCAGAAATCACCCACAAGATTATCCGAAATGACTCTGTGCTGGACATCATGTAAGTGAATATTACTGCCAGATATGGCAAGTCATTTTATAGACAACACTTAAGCAGTCATATATGTTAATTGTAATGAACCTAATTTACAGCAAATAAATAGTTATAGATGTATATTTATTTATGCCTCTGTGTTTGCACTCTATGAATGCTAATTGCTTAAAATGTAGTTCTATTTTTTCCGCTCAAATTTGAGAAAACCCCTCTACGCGTTTGTGTTTCCATTCGCACAACATACCATACCCCACTCAGGAGGGGCGATGGCTGCGTATTCTATATCAGATCAAATACAAGCTTCTCGGCCTTTTGGGTAAGATCAAGTGTAGTATCTGTTCTTATCAGTTGTCGGGAATTGAATGGCCGCTGTCACCTGTGTGGGGTAGATGGACGGCCTAGTAGATTCCTGGCGTAATTGGTAGGGAGCCGGATGAGGTTCCAGGCCCTCGGAGCTTTCGACCCTTGTTAATGGGTGGGCTCCGGCGGAGGGATCTCTGAAGGTGAACTATCTCCTGGGAGGAATGGATACGAAGCTTGGTCGAGGCTAGAGGGTTGGTGGCGGCAGAAGCCCGTGGTGTTGTGCCCCCTGGGGGTGGCGTCACTTGGGTGTGGGACCCCACATTGACTCACTGATCACTTGGTCACACACCACCTTGCATTTTTCTGCACATCGCCTCTTGGACAGGCCTTATGGCTAGTCCGGGGCAATTTTTTTGCACTCGGCCCCTAAGGCCTGTCAGCGTGGTGCACTGCCACTTTAGTATTACTTATGCACGATTGCACGTTTGGCTTTTTTTTCAAAAGCTTTTTGACCCACAGATGCTGAAGGTGCAGGTTTCTTCGGGGCCTATTCCTGATGCTGGGAGGAGATTCTGTGCCTCCTACGGGGTTCTCTGTCTCCTCCCACCCAGGAGGGGGGTTTCTCTTCGGGAGATCCCCACTGCCTAGTACTGTGTGGGACCTGTTTCAGCAGGTCCCCGACGGAAATGGTCCACCGGCCTTCGGGTTGGTGGGCCAACAGTCTCAACCCCTGTCAGGAGCCTTGCGCCCCGGGGGGTCGAGAAAGTAGGTCCCTTCTTTTGAAGGACCTTGCACCCTTGTGCACATTTTTGTGTGCTGTGATTTCACGGTTCACTTTTTTTGTTCACAGGGGGAAGTTTGTTTTGATGCACGTCCACGGGCTAATTTATAAGAAAAAAAAAAATCAGATCAAATACAGCAACACAGACTGGTGCTATCGAGTGGGGCTCTGCTCCTCCTGTGGTCCTGACCCCCCTATGCAGTAGAGGGGATGATGGGCATTAGGATCTGGGTGCCCCACTGTCCGTGAGGAAGCCATCAAAACACATTGAGGCTAAATAATTTTGTCAGCACTCCAAGACCTCGGTTCATGGAAACTCATTTGTGCTTTCCATTGGTTTGGACTTTTTATAGACATCTAGTTGTAAATAATGTGGTCACTTCTTTGCTGACCTATGTGGGACTATTCTGCCAGTCACAAGGACATTATGGCTCACTTTTGCTTTTAATTGTGAACTATTTTAGCAGATGTGTTAATAAAATATTGTTAAATTTCATCTTTATGCTGGTTTTGTAATATTTCCATCAAGGGCGACTCACCGTGAACCACACTACTTTTCCTTTCTGTTGTACTCTTACCTAAAAATCCTTTTAAAAAGATCTTTCTCCTCGGTACCTGACACATGTTAGAGAAGCTCTTGCTCTGCTGGTACATGTGTGGTGGCCATGCCCATTGATTCAGGATTTCTGGGCGCACGTTATAGACCTCTACAACAAATTGTATTTGGAGACTGTAGCGATGATGTTATTGACTTTGCTCCCACAATCCCCATCTCGGGTTAAGAAATAGATTTTACGCTTTTTTTAAAAATGTTTGCGGCTTACCAAGCGATTGCTATACATTTAAAATCTGTGCATCCACTATCACTGTCGGAATAAATATATATTATGAATGATATTATGCGCATGGAGGAGTTAGACAATGTCACTATTGAAAAATGTCACCAGATCTGGACTGTTTGGATAGTTTATAAAGAGTCCTTAGAAGTGAATAGTTTAGTCATCAGCGGGTTTCCTTACTTTTACCTGTTTGCTTTTGGGATGTTTTTCCTTTTATCTATTGAGCATATCTTTTTTCCTAATTCCCGTAATGATGTGCATTATACTTCCCTTGTTTGTCATTTTGACTTGGGGTGCACCTTTTCTTTACTCCTACCCTTATTTTTACATTTTCTGCTATCTTTACTCCTCTTTTTGCTTATTTTCTTTTCTCCTCTTTTTCCTTTTGACTCACCTCCTCTTCTCTGGCTCTTTTCATATTCCCCTGTTTCTTAGGCATTTGTTTCTTTCTTTATAAAATTGGGCAGCTTGCAAGATTGCTCTCACATTTACATTGTTGTAGTGGTGGTAAATGTTTTATGTTTGTCTCGAGAATAATTTACACAGGACAATTGATATTTTTTATTGTACAGAACATTTTCCATCTTCAGACCTTGTGTGTAGTCTTCAAGGTTTAATGTTTGCTGTTTATTTGCCTGACTTTCAATAAACTTAATATGAACCGAAAGATCTTTCTTACCTTTTTGGAGGTTACTTTTAGTTTTGTATCATCAGTCCAAAGGAGGTTGGGGTCATATTCCTCCAACTTAAAGTTTTCAGGGTTTTTTTCTGGGCCTTTATCTCAGAGATATTCACCAGATACCTATACCTGGATGTTCTGCTGCTACAAGACCAGATCTCTGACCTTGGATTTTAGTGTTTCAAGGATGATGTGGACCTTGGAGGACATTTTCTTGACATTGCTATCTCTTAAAGCAGTCAAATTTGAGGAAAACCCACTTTATGATTTTGATCCCATTCACACATCATTAGGGCTGCAGCTAACAATTCTATTCAAAATCGATTAGTTGGCCGATTATTAAAGTGACATTAAACCCTCAGATTTTTTTAACATAAACCAATACTGTAATGTGTGCCTTACTGTAATCCATGGTTGTTTCCCTTCTCTTTGCTGCTCTTCCTTTTAAATCCTCATGTCTTCTCATGCTTGGGGAGAACTTCCCTTTCCAGCTCAGGGCCTCTTCCTGTAGTGCTGGCTCAGGTTACAAGCCTATACAAACGTATACACAGACACCGTGTATCTATTCCTGAGACAATGCAGTCTGCTGCAAAACAGAAGTTCTGCCCAGCATGAGAAGAGATACAGATTTAAAAGGAAGAGCAGCAAAGAGAAGGGAAACAACCATGGATTACAGTAAGGCACACATTACAGTATTGTTTTATGTTAAAAAATCTGAGGGTTTAATGTCACTTTAAGTTGGATTAATCGGATAAAAAAAAAAGGGTCCAGTGATGGACTACTAGTTTGTGTTAAGATTGTAGTCCATCACAGGAGCAAGCTTGGAGCGGTGGAAATAAGAAAAAAAAAGTGTGGTGTGCAATATAGTGAAATGGAAAGTGTAAAATTATACAGCAATGAATGCAGAATGGCATTGTCTATAGAGGACAACAAATCCCAGCAATAGTACATTATACAGCACAATACAGAATACCACCAGCTATAATGTACTATTGCTGGGATTTGTAGTCCTCTATAGCTGGTGGTATTCTGCAAACAGGCTGTTGAATGTATTATTGCTGGGATTTGTTGTTCCTCTATAGCTGCGGGTGTTCTGCAGTGCCGTTTTATTTTTTTTTAAACAGGAAACAAAACAGGTCCCCCTTACCTGTTTCTGAACCCTTGTAAGTCGCTGCGGTGGCAGGGCGTGCTCTGCAAACGTGTGTCCGGCTTAGCGTTTGTACGGTGGCGTACGCGGCGTGTGGGTGTGGCCTAAGCGGCGTGCGTAGCGCAGGTAGTGTATGGAGGCGTGAGCGGCGAGCGTGAAATTTACATTTTAGCCGACGAATCCACGATGGAAAACGTTGACGTTTTCCATCGTCGATTTTAATCGACTTAATCGAATAATTGTTGCAGCTCTACACATCATAGCTTAAAATAATTTGTTTAAATATATTCTTTTACCTGTTAATATATTTCTTACCTTTTTAGATGTTTGTTGAATGCCTTTGTGCAGATTCCAGGCTGCTCTAAGCAGTTTGAAAGTGAAATTAGATGGTCAGACTGAGCTTCCTCTCATTAACATACAATGCCTTGAAGACTTTAACCCTTTGTTAGGACAAATCTAGTTGACCATAATGAGATCTACCAGCCCAGTACAGACAGGGTTAATGAGAGTAAACATAACTTCACAGAGCCCCCACCTTGACATTACTTTGGGCGGAGGATAGGTAGGATTTTTAAGCAAGTATAAAGCACTTAAAAATGTAAGCAGCTATTTTTTTTAAAGTTATGCTATGTAAATGGGAACACATAACAAACATAAAAGAAGTGTGATACCAATTTGGCAGCCAAAGTGTAAATATACTTAGCTTTTTTTGTGCAGATGAAGAGATTTCCAAGTTATTAGCGTTGTATTGTAAGGGGTCTTTTTGGATTTTGCACAAAACTGGTCTTTGCTTTTCACTTTAAAGGAGATCTATGAGGTGAGTGATTTTCACTCATCCTCATAGATTCTAGCCGACCTGTGACAATGAGACTGTCACAGGTCGGCTCAGTAGATCGGGAAGTGAGCGAACACATACCGGCGTTCGCTCACTTCTCGATCCTGTGCCGGCAGAGAGCCGTGACAGGGGAGCGACTGGATTCCCCTCTCCCCGCTCTGCTCCTCCAGCGCTGACTGGCGGAACGGACGAGGGAGGGGGCGGGTACAGCTGGCTCTGCCTCTAGATAGGCACAGTCAGCTGTCACTCACGCAGCTGGGCGGATCCAGACATAATTGTCGGGATCCGTTTCAGCTGCGGCGTCTCGGTATACAGTGAGCTGTAACGGGAGGACGCTAGTTTGTGTCCTCCTGTTACCCTTAGGACAACTATAGGGAAAAGCCGTAACCCCATAGTTCTCCTTTAATGAGAATATTATTGTTTCTAGCTCCATGCACTCCAAGGAGATTACTCTCCATTGTTTGGACGTGTTGAGAGACATTAGCTTTTCCCTCTCAGCCACTGCTTCTTTTAGGCAAACAGAAACCTTGTTTGATATTTCTGGATGTTCTTAATGAAGTTTGTTTGGCTTTCAGGTCCACTGGTTCTAGGTGGATCTGTAAGGCCGAACGCTCTGGAACACACTCTTTATGGTGTGACTTAAAAGTTTTCCCTTTTGCTTCTTGGAAAGTAGTGTTGCTTATACAGATTAACGACTCCCAGTGACCAATCCCATAATGTATATCAGCTCAGTTCAGTTTCAGTCTGACAACTTGTGCCTCAAAGTGAGCACAGCTGCTTTAGCTAGCCCATTGTGTTCTGGGAATCCTTTGTTATGTAAGAAATTAAGAAATATTTATTTGTAATGTAGAAATTCTGTGTATGTATTTGTGTGTATGTTTGTATGTATATTTCATGCATCCTGCAAAAGAAGACTCTTAGAGCCTGTTCACACGACGTCCGTTTTGTGTGCTGACCGGCTCCGTACGCTGCTGCACTCAAAATGCATCCCAATGTATCCCTATGTGTTTTATGGGCTCCAGTTCTCACGTGCGCAATCCATTCAGCTTACAACAGAAAAAATACTGCATGTCACATTTTGTCCGGTCCGGGAACGCGTACGAAACGCTACGAAAACGCAACGAGAACAGAAACGCAACGCAATGCAGCTAAGGGGGAAAAAAAGAAAAAATTGTATTCTTGCTTCACTTATGATGTCATCAACGTTGACAAAAAATTAACTGTCAGCATCCGGACCGAAAACGCATCAAAACGCGTCAAAAACGCACTGCATCAGCAGCTCCACACCTGCTGATCAGCACCTGATCAGGACCTGATCTCATGTGAACGGGCCCTAAAGGGCCTGTTCACACGACGTCCGTTTTGTGTGCTGACCGGCTCCGTACGCTGCTGCACTCAAAATGCATCCCAATGTATCCCTATGTGTTCTATGGGCTACAGTTCTCACGTGTGCAGTCCGTTCAGCTTACGACAGAAAAAATACTGCATGTCACATTTTGTCAGGTCCGGAAACGGTCCGGATACGCAAACGCGCACGTAACGGAAACGCAATGCAGCTAAGGGGGAGAAAAAATTGTATTCTTGCTCCACTTATTATGATGTCATCAACGTTGACAAAAAATTAACTGTCAGCATCCGGACCAAAAACGCACTGCATCAGCAGCTCCACGTCTGCTGATCAGGACCTGATCTCATGTGAACAGGCCCTAATACTTGTGTCAGTAGCGAGTCCTCACTGTGCTTTCTTTGAGAGTTACACCCTCTGTTTGAATCTTCACATCCACTTTAGGGTGTTATGAATGCCTCTGTGGTTTTTCCTGCTGGTCCCTACAGTATTCGGGTCTGTTCACACGACGTCCGTTTTCTGTGCTGACCTGATCCGTACGCTCCTGCCCTAAAAATGCATCCCAATGTATCCCTATGTGTTTTATGTGCTACAGTTCTCATGGGCTCAGTCTGTTCAGGTTACGACAGAAACTTACTGCATGTCACATTTTGTACGGTCAGGAAACGCAAAACGCGTCAAAAACTCGTCACAAACGCACTGCACTGCAGCTAACATACTGACAGCCCCACTCCAGCAAAAACATTTTTTTTTTTTTGCTGGAACGCCTCTAAAACGCGGTAAAACACATAGCACCGCGTCTGCAGATCAGGACCTGATAATCATGTGAACAGGCCCTTAGTGTCCTAAAATGATGCAGATGAAACCAAAGATTTAGTTTAATCTATCGTTCAGGAAATTTTGAATGAGTTTCTTAAATGTTGTTGAAATGTGAAATGAATAACCTATATGTCTGTACTGTCCACATCACAGGCACCTGTTGTATCAGCAAGGCCGGGAGAACTTTCAGGATCAAGTTACAAAAGAGTTGGTTGGGAGCATTGTGATCACTAGGTACAATAACCGCACATACCGCATTGATGACATTGAGTGGAACAAATCCCCAAAGGATGTCTTCACTTTGGCAGATGGCACAAATATTAGCTTCCTGGAATACTACAGGTGAGACTTAAAGGTGGAGTTGTGAGTAACTGTACAAATCAGCAGTGAACAAATACCTTCTGTTACATAGCTTGATAGGGAGACGGGGAATGTATGCACGACAGAATGGCATTAGTGCTGGTTATATATGTTAGCTTCATAAAACTAAGCTGGGTAATTAACTAGCAGAAATCAAAGTACTAGAAGGTTCAGCAGGAATCCTAATCTGTGAAACACGCCAGGGTCAGGACAGTTGAGCAGAGAAGTAGAAGCTGCAGATGGGCCAAGGAACAAGCTGGGTCGGTAACAGGAATCGGCAGAATCACAGAGGTACTGCTGAAGACCTCTTAGCACTCAGGCCTGGCAAGGCAGCACTCAGGCCTGGCAAGGCTCAGCTTAAATAGCCTTTTCGGCGCCATTGTCATCAGTGAGCGTGTATACACATGTCATGACACACGCTTGTGCAGAAACGCACAACTGCGCACAATTCTGTGTTTATGGCTCGCATGCACATACGCAGATGCTCCAGCTTGATTGCAGCTATACAAGCTGGCCCGATTTTCCTGACACATTCATGCTGATGCATTGTTCTTCTAACCTGGTACACTTTTGCTAGTTTATTATTAAAGTGCATCCTTTGAGTTCCAGTCTATTGTGTCTAGGTGAATGGTGCAGTCTGGTTGGATAATCTCATTAGTATGCTGCAGACAGGAGGAACGTATTCCTCAGTCTCCCCAAGCACAGTGTTTGTGGGTTTCCTTGCATGAAGTGCCCATTTCAAATTCCCCTTTCATTTTAATGGGATTCAAATTTAAGGTTTTGACTAGACCAGTCCAAGACTAAAACCCCGCATTCCACGCAGCCCACCATAGAACCTACACAGCCACCTGAGAGCTCACCATAGAGAG